TGTGTGTGTGTGTGTGTGTGTGTGTGTGTGTGTGTATACGTGTCGCTTATCCATAGGCGCAGACTGGCAATAGCTTGGGATAGGAAATTCTGTGGAAGAAGTATACGGTGCAATGACATTGTTCAGAGATTTGACAGAATTTCATTACTCTTGCTAAACCCAACAGAGAAAATATGGAGCAAAATGCAGATCACAGCGGCCAAATGTTTTACAGGAAAAAACAAAGAAAAAAGAAAGGAAGCGAAAGAAGGAACGTCGTAATGCACCAGGTGATACCGGCGAAGGTCGCATCGAACCTACCAATACAGTGTCGGAAGAAACACTAGAGGAAGGTGAAATTGTTACAGAGAAGGATATATCGCCACGGTGCGTTCCTTGTGAAATCCATTTTTTCTTGGATAACAGTCTTTTTGGCAGCTGTTCGAGCACTGCACTTCCTCACAGCATGAGTATTTATGTTTATATCTGCCCTGTAATTAACCAAACCTTTTGCGTCAGTTTTGCCGTGTGGAAATTTCGAGTAGTTCGAATGAATTTCATTATTCGGTACTTAACTGCTGTGCCATTACTGCTCATCGGCAGAAATGCTGTGCTAGATTTGGCGAACCAAAACAGAAGAATAGTGTACTCGGTACAAAATTAAGCTATGCACTTCGGAATAAGTGCGAAAAAAAAAGTTTGTATTCTGTATTTCAAAAATTAATAAACTGCGAGTTGAGAAAAACCAGTCACGTATTTAAGCTAACAACGCTTTGAGGAAGGAGGGTGGGAGAAGAGGGGCGAGTGTGGAGAGGGGAAAAGGTGCACGTTTGGTTCTTTATTAAATTTTTATTAATTTCCTGCACGCCCTTAGAGCGATCTACGATGGCAGGTTGATCAGACCTTCAAAGAATTTTGGATAATCTGTAGAAAAGTGGCGCGCGTCAATCGATCTTGAGCTGCATACTTCCACTTAGATTTGAGTGCCAGTTGGAGATATGTATCCCAAGACCGAAATGCCTGTCATAGCTGCACCCGGCGTTTGGGAGCACCTCATTAGTGTGGTGAACATGGGATGCCAGTACTTTTGCTTGAATAAGTTTCATTTTCTTGAATTTCTGGTGCGCTCGGTGATTCCTCTTTATTTTGTCAAGTTTTAGGGATATGGATAAAACGCTTGTGAGCTATGAAACTTCTGAGTCTGAGGGCGAAGCAGAAGAATGTGATGTCATGGAAGATTTTCCACAGCAACAAGTCCGCAAAAATGTAAGTCTTTTTGATCAGAGTGAAATAAATCTAAATTACATATTGCAGTTTATGTACAGAAGAGAATATAAAAGCTTTGGAGGCGAAATGAGTGGTAGCGATGTGAGGAGTGCACATTTAGGTCTGAATGTGTTGTACTGGTATTTCACATAAAAAAAAATTCTTGATCCGAACAGGGCGAGGGTACGCACCAATACAGTGCTGCATACTACGATTCGTGTTGACCATTTATTGGTAAGCAGTAAAAAGAATGAGAAAAGGGGAGAAAGGGGAGGGATGGCTGAATGGTCATCCTTGCTGGACAAAAAATATGATTGATAGCGGCATAGGAAGCAGAAGTTAGGTGCAGAGATGCTGCAGTTGTTCAGGAAGGTACAGGTTCTGTTAAGTCGGCAAATTACTTTTGTTCAAGCGTATTTCATCGAATTAGTTATCTTTGTTGCCTCTACTTCTCAGATATATGCTAAAACGCTGTCATTGCCATTAGACAGTAACCATCCCAAAAATCACAGGTGTAACAAGTGTCCAGTTGTCTCTGATAAAAAGGGGTAGTGCATCTATTTCAGTATGCGTTCTAACGCCAAATTTTGAAATTCTGATTCCGCCAGCTTGCCATTTTGCTCAGCCGAGCCCTTCCAAACTGATTTTAATACCTCTTTTTTTTTTAAATCTATGCCTTAGAGCTGATTTTTGCTTTTTTCGAAGGGAGGAATGGCTTTCGACACTTCTGACTAATTTTTGCTTGCCGTTAAATATGTGTCATTTGAACTTTTTGCTATTCATCCTGTTTTCTGTATTTTTCCCACAAGTTAACAGTCCCTGGGTCCTGTAAAAAAGAGCCGTTGCAATTACTAGCCTTAGGTTCTGCAGTTTTACTAATTACTTCGGAAGGAGCAGTATTATGCGCATTTTGAATGAATTTGTGTGATTGATGGTCGTTCTGTTGGCTGTAAAATGTAACGAAATCAAATGTGGCAGAAGGTCATTTCTACGGCCATCGGAACGTTTGAGAATTCTACGGCTACCGCACCGTGTGAGCATTGCAAAATCCATCGATGAGGTATGTTTGTCAGTTGATTTTTTACAAGCTCTTTTTAATTTTATTTGATGTCGTAATATTTTAGGCTTCGAGTACAAATGTTTCTGCAAATGAGAAGGAAGATGAGGGACCGATTCCGATGGGAGCAGCAAGCACCGAGCATCATTCATCTCAGGTCTCAAATTTTCTTATTACCGTTAGAGATGTTTTAATGGCAACTGGTTGAGCAAAAACATTATACTAATTTTTGAATGCTTTTGTTTCAGTGTGCTGTCAGCCATG